CTTAGGCAGGCAAGGTAAACCAGCAATGCAGCTGTACATAATTAAACAAAGGCAGCACATCTTTGCCTAGTTAAACAAGTTTTCTGCAACAGTAAATCTTAATATTTTTAGAACAAACTTATTAGTAGATTCTTTACAACATTTGTTTATTATTCCCACTTTCTCCTTCAACTTCAGCTTTTAGCAGTTCAGTTCCTGCACCAGATGCCTTGCCACGGGTGCATATAATCTGATCATTTGGGAGGCTGAGTCAAGACAATGTTGGGATCAAAGCCAACTTACTACGTAATGAGGACCTGCCTCAAAAATAAATAGATGGATGGATGGATGAAGTCGAGTTTTAAATATAAAGTATGATTTCAGTTTCTGAGTGATTGATGCTTCCTTCTGCTTGATGCCTGGCTGCATATGATGGGTGCTGCAAGCGGACCCTTCATCCTGGTAGGAGATAGGTCTTCTGGGATGGTTTCTGCTGACTGAGCAGATGTGTAAGATTACAGGAGGTTCTTGCTTTCATTATAACAACCAAAACAGACAGGTAAGCTCAAAATGACCGCTGTTTAAGGAGCATCAGGGGCACAGAGGTACCTACATCAGCTAAATGCAAGAAAGGAGCAAGCTCTACCCATGAGGGGAGAACCCCATGGTCGTGTTCACCTGTGTTGACTGGAACAGAGAAAACTGATCGAGAGAACCATTCGAACTCAGCTGCCTGAGCACTGAGGAGCACCAGCCAGAATGGGTCTGCCCTACCTGCCCGCTCCACCCAGAATCATCACGGGCTATGAGACATTAACTCCCCAAAGTTAGAGTTAGAAAAGAAGGACTTAAGGCAACTCCTTGGAGCATTTTGGGCCTCCATAGACTCTGGAGAGCTTATAAAGGGGTTGGTACTGAAGAGAGATCCACAGAGAAGCAGAAAACAAGGAGCAAAGAGCAAAGAGCATAAGAAGGCTATCAGCAGGGCTGTAAAGCTGGGCGAGCTCTGCCACAGTTGTGAAACCTGCCAGCTTAGTTGTGAAGTACAGATGATCTCAATAATCCACCACCACCACCACCCACCGCCACCCCTCACCTCCACCCCTCACCTTCACCCTTCACCTCCACCCCCCACCTCCACTCTCCTCATCCCCCCCACTCCCCCCACCAGATCTCAGACTATGTTGAAGGCTAAGAATCAACCCTCCCACCAAACCAGTTAAGAGCAAATGATGAGATTTTTATTCTTTTTCAGGGCTAAGAAATACTCCTGTGTGTGTGTGTGTGTGTGTGTGTGTATGTGAATTTTTTTTTATTCATTCATCTGTTTGAGGACACCTTGGGTAATTTCATATCTTGGTTATAGTAGTTGGTGTTGTAATTCAGCCATAAAAACTGTAATCCTGTGATTTGCAGAAATGTGGATGGAGAACTTAATGCTAAGGGAAATAAACAGACGCAGGAAGGTACAGTATGGCGAGTTCTCAGTCCTATGTGGAAACCAAAATGTTAATCTCAAGGAAGTGGTCACTATGGGCTTAGCAGCGTGAGAACCTGGGGCAGGGGCCTCAGAGGGATGTTGGATAATGGGTGGTAAAATACTATTAGGAATAAGTTCTAGTGCTCTATAGCAAAGCAGAGTGACTAGCTTGCAACAAGTTATTATTGGTTTTACCAAGAACTAAAAGAAGAGAATTCAGAATCCCAACACAACAGAATGATAAAGGTTTAAAGAGACAGACATTTTCATTACATAATCAGATCAGGATACGCGATATATGTATATTAAGTTGAATTATCACAGGGTTCCATAAATATGTAAAATCGTGTGTCTATTCAAATGCTCATAAGGAATTCTTAAGTTTTTATTATCATTGCTATCATTATATACGTGTGCCTGTGTCTGATGGAGAAGGGGTGGCGTGGGGGCGGGGCGGGGCATGTGCCTCATGAGGAGGTCAAAGGACAACTTTCGATATTCCTTCAGTCTATAAGGCATGCCTGACAGGCACTCTGTCTCACTGGAGCATCTCACCAGTCCTTTCTTTTCTTTTTCAAAAAGATTTGTGGATGTGGGCAGAAGAGCAAGGAAATACACCTCACAGCTAACGCCGAAAAGAATGGAAGAGTTAGCCTGGTAGTGGTGGTGGTGGTGGTGGCGGCGGCGGCGGCGGCGGCGGCGGCAGCAGCAGCAGCAGCAGCAGCGCATGCCTTTAATTCCAGTACTCGGGAGGCAGAGGCAGGTAGATCTCTGGGTTCAAGGCCAGCCTGGTCTGCAGAGTGCGTTCCAGGACAGCCAGGGCTACACAGAGAAACCCTGTCCCGAAAAAATGAAAATAAAATAAAATAAAAATAGAAGAGCTGGAGTGTGGCTCAGGGGTCGAGTGTTAGCCTAGACATGTGGAACTCTGGGTTCCGTTCCAGCACCACAAAAACAACTGAATCAATGAACAAATAGATAGAATTCTGAACACATAGGCACACCTGAAGTTAAAATTTAAAAGACAGAAGCAGACACTAAGTAGTGTACTGAAGTTCAGACATCCATGCTATAGTAATGTTAAAGGAGGGTGGGCAGGATGGCCCAGTGGGGAAAGGCACTGGACCCTAAGCCCCGATGACTTGTGTTCAGTTCAGCCCACATGGTGCAAGGAGAAAATCGTCTTCTGAAAGTTGTCCTCTGATCTCACTTGTCCACATACATACACACGTGCACAAGATAAACAAATAAAAACGCACTATTTTTAAAATAAAAGAAAGTAAAATGAAGTCATTTTCAGTCAAACAATCCATAGTACCAGAACAAACAAATCATAAAAATATTACAAGTTTCACACTCCAAGAAAAGCTAACATAACTTTTTCACACTACTCAAAAAAACACAACATAACAAAAAGAAAACCCAGGCCGGGCAGTGGTGGCATATGTTTTTAATTCCAGCATTCTGGAGGCAGAGGCAGGTGGATCTCTGTGAGTTTAAGGCCAGCCTGGTCTGCAGGGCAAGTTCTAGGGAGGGGGTGGGGTGGGGGAACTCAGATCTGAAATGAGTCCCAGAGGGCCAATAGACAACCATCTTTTACAATACATCTAGATCTTCATCTCTGTTTGGGTGTGTGCTCACACAGAGCTTTAAAAACACTATTAAGGCTAGATGTGATAGCACACGCCTTTAACCTTAGCACTCAGGAAGCAGAGGCAGGTGAAATTCTGTGAGCTGGTGGCCAGCCTGGACTATGTAACGAGTTCCAGGACAGCCAGGGATACATAGTGAGACCCTATCTTGCGGGGGGGTGGGGTGGGGTGGGGGTGAGGAGTAAAGGGCTGGAGAGATGGTTCAATGGTTAAGAAAAGTTGTTGCTCTTATGGAGGACCTGTGTTTGATCCCTAGTACCCATGTGGTGGCTCACAACCATCTGTAACTCCAGATCTGGGGGATGCAACACTCTTTTCTGGCCTCTACAGGCACCAGGCATGCACATGGTGCCCATATACATGCAGATATAACACTCCTACACAAAAAATTAAAATCTCTGTGTGTGTGTGTGTGTGTGTGTGTGTGTGTGTACTGTTGACTAGTTAAAGTAAAAAATAAAATAAAACAAAAAACATAACATATCTTGAGATTTATAACATACGGAGACAAAGAAAAAGTCAAAATTCTGATAATAAGATCACAAATGGTAGATGGACACAAAATAGAATTGAATTGCTGTCCGGTTCTTTCACCATTTGTATAATGATATTTTTAGTGTATTATCTGAAGGGAGATTGTGATGATTTAAAGGTGCAGAGCATCAGGCTGAGGCGTAGCTCAGTGAAAGCACTTGTCTAGTATGTTCAAGGCCCTGGGTTCCATCCCTTGAACTCACAGGAATCTGCCTGCTTTCCCCACCCCCAGTCCCAAGTTCTGGGATTAAAGGCTTGTGCTACTATACCTGTATTGAATTGTATTCTTATATATAATATTTTTTAAAGGAAATAATCCAATGTTTAAACTGAGCAAATGGTTTGGACAAATATTTCACAAAAGAAGACCTATCTGTAGTTGATAAGCACTTGAAAAGATGTTTGATTTCATTAGTTTCTGGGAAAATGCAAATTAAAGCCTCAATACAATATCATTTCACTCACCTTAGAGTTGCTAAAATAAAATGTGAAAATAAACTGTATAGAATAAATGTTGGTAGGGAGGTAGGATATCTAACAGCTAACATTTCCAGTAGTTTTCTAAAATGGTCACTCCTCATTGGAGAGCCCTTGGGCAGCTTGTAGTAAATATAAATGCACATGGATCCCATGCCCCCAAAGAATTGTACTCCTGATACTTATCTAAGAAAAAAAAGGATCCTTCATTCACAAAAAGATGCGTAGGAGAATGTTAATATTAGCCTCATTCATAATAGTCCTACACAGAAAACAAACCAGAAAAGTCCATCTGCAGTAAGAGGCCAGACAGACAAATTGTGTTAAATGTGTACAAGAAAAATACAATCAGTAATTTAAAAACCCTCTGGTGATATATAATGTTTCAGAATCTCAAAAACATGTTAAACAACATAAATTTTATCAAAAGGTACATTCGTTACTATATAGTCTAGGATGGTTTGAATGAGAATGGCCCCCATAGGCTCCTATGTTTGAATGTTTAGTTCCCAGTTGGTAGATCCGTTTGGGAAGGATTAGGAGGTGTGGCCTTGTTGGAATAAGTGTGTCAGTGGGGCAAGGCTTTGAAGTTTCAGAACACTGACACCATTCTCTGTCCAGATGTACGCTCACAGTGACTGCTGCAGCACCATACCGGCCTGCATGCTGTCACGATCCCTGCAATAATGGCCATGCCTCTAACCTTCTGAAACTATAAGCTCCAAATAAACGCTTTCTTTTATAAGTTGTCTTGGTCATGTTGTCTTATCACAGCAGTAGAAAAGTAACTAAGACTTTTTACTGTTCTAAAGGCCATGGAACCTGGGGGAACAGAGCCTAAAACTAAGGCAGACTAAAGTCTCATGCAATAGCCAACTTTATTCAGAGCATCAGACAATTTATACGCTGAGGGTTAAGAAGAATCACATGAGTAAAGTGTACAATCACAAGGGCAAGCCACACATGGCAACAACGTGTTTTTCCATAGAGGCATATAAACAAGTAACAATAGCCAGCTGTGATGAATAATCTAAAGTGAACTCACTCCGATCTGCTGCACTGGGGAGAAGCATGAAAACACTACAAAAACAATTCTGTGTTTTTGGAGAAACTGAGGTCACAATATTCTTGTCCTGTTTTCTTGGAGTTTCTTCACAAGCACTCAGAATTTCACTCACACAGCTTCATTCTTGGATCTTGTTCTGACAAAGACACATTGCAACAACAGGCAAAATTAATCTATAGTGATAGAATTCAGAAGATGATTATGGGGATGGAAAGGAAAGGAACATGAAGAAACATTCTGGGATGATTACCACCCCCCAAAAAGGAAAAAAAAAATGTCCTGTACCTTGGGTGGGTGGTGTGTCAGTCAGCTTTTCTTCACTGTGACAAAATGTCTGAGATTAAAAAAACAAAAAAGTAGAAGTCTTAGGCCAACAAGATGGCTCAGTGGATAATGACACTTGCCATCAAATCTGATGCCTGAGTTCAATCACTGGGATCCACACAGTGGATCCTGCAAGTTGTCCTCTGATTTCCACAGGTGTGCTGTGGCCCATGCATGCCCACATGCCTGCACACATGTAGATGAGCACACACACTAAACAAATTTAACTTCAACAAACAAACAAACAAACAAACCCAACTGTAAAGGCAGGTCTGGTGGTGCGCGCCTTCAAGGCCAGTACTGGGGCAGCAAAGGCAGGCAGCTCTCTCTGAGTTACAGAGTGACAGTGACGTAGTCAGAGAGCCTGCTTTTTTTTTTTTTTTTTGGTTTTTCCAGACAAGGTTTCTCTGTGTAGCTTTGAGCCTTTCCTGGAACTCACTTGGTAGCCCAGGCTGGCCTCAAACTCACAGAGAGATCCGCCTGCCTCTGCCTCCCGAGTGCTGGGATTAAAGGCGTGCGCCACCACCGCCCAGTGAGCCTGCTTTTAAAAATTAAAAAAAAAAATCTTAAAAGAAGGAAAGATTTCCTAAAATATATGCATATATTTTGCCCTATAATGGTGGGGGGCACAATGTACCAATTAGACATTACATGCTAGCAAATAAAATCACCAGTGCCAGGAACAGGTTACCCCTCTTTGAGTTGTTGGCCCGTGGAGTCTCGTAGACACCCAAAACATTGCAGGCTATTGCCACTGCTCTTGGCTACCCTCCAGAATTTGATGGCAGGACTCTATAAATGAAGACACTGAAGACTTGAGTCACACACAGAACATGGAAAAATCAAGCTGGTACTCACTGGAAGCTTCATACCCTACTGTCTAGCTTTCATAGCGCTGCTGGAAGGTGCTGCATGTGCTACTGGAGGAGAAAAGTGATCATCAAGTCCATGCTGCAAACCCTTGTGAGTTACAATTACAATTGTCCTGGCAAGTCATACATACACACTGGTGTCATAGTGGCAAAAAGAAAAAAAAAGAAAAAAAAATGTTAAGGGAGCAATCGACAACTTTCTCATTGGAATTTTAAGGCCCATTCCACAAGATGGAACCCACAGTTGGCACTGTTACAGGGGCCAAGAATCTACATCTACACGGGTCACAGGCCCTGGAGGAGAGCTACTATTATCGTTCTACTAGATGGACACAGTGTCAGAATGACTCCTAATGACTTATGGCTGTACCCACAGGTTAATTCTCTCAACCCTCAAGAAATAGGTTCTTCTTGCAAACAGAGGGCCACAATCGGCCAATAGGCAGAGAATAAGAGAGTATCAAGTGCTCATCCCTATAGAGGGCCAGAAAGACTGTAAAAGCCAGAGGTGGCAGGTGACTCTAAGGAAACAGTGTTTTCTGGACACACGCAGATGCCTGTATGAACTCACAGGGACTGTGACAGCACAAACAAGACCCAGACAAGCTCTTACCAGACAAAATCCCAGCATGGAGTAGGAGGTTGTCACGAGTCCCACTCTTAGCTGAGCAGCTACTAGAGAGGAGAGTCAGGTTTTTTTTTTAAGAGTATGAACTTAATGGTAGGTTGACCACTCTCTAAAGCAGGTCTCCCACCCAAGAGGAACATAAATTGTACTCAATGTGTTTAAAAATAAGTGAGTGAGGACATGAAGCTTGGTGGGTGTTGTGGAATATTATTTTAACGAGGCAAAGACGAGTTGCATTTGTTTATGCTGCATTTGTTCAATTATGTAAAGAGGTGTTGCTATTTCACCTTGCCTGCCTAAGGCACCTGGTTGGTCTAATAAAAAGCTGAATGGCCAATAGCTGGGCAGCAAAGGGATAGGTGGGGCTGGTGGGCATAGGGAATAAGTGGTAGGGGGAATCTAGGCTTGAGAGAGAAGAGAACAAGGGAGAAAGAGAGAGAGAGAGAGAGATGCCGGGGCCAGTCAGCCAGATACGGAGAAAGCAGGAAAGCAGGACATACAGAAAGAAAGGAAGGTAAGAAGTCTCAAGGCAAAACATAGAGGAAGAGAAACAGTTTAATTTTAAGTTATAAGAGCTAGAGGGACAAGAATAAGATAAGGCCGAGCATTCATAACTAATATTAAGTCTCCGTGTCTTGATTTGGGAGCTGGTTGGTGGTCTGAGAAAGCTGCTACAGATGGGTGGAGAGGTGGGGAGGGGAATCTGGGAAGAGTCGGGAGTGTGAATAGGATCAAAATACATTGCCAGAATTAATGAAAATATGCTTTTAAAGACAAAAGCCATATTTTGGCTCATGTTTTCAGAGGTGTTGCTTTGGAGTTGATGGTGAGTTTGAACACCATGGCACAGTATGGAGCAAAGCTGCTCATCCCTAGAAACCAAAGAGAGCCAGGGGTTGGGTCCCTATATCTGCTTCAAGTACATGCCTCCAATAACCTAACTCCATTCTACTAGGTCCTGGCTCTTAAAGCTTCTGCTACCTCTCAATTATGTAATGGCTGCCAACCAAGCATATGACTTTTTTTTGGGGGGGGGACAACAATAAAATCAAAGGCATAGCAGCCAGTGACAATACAGACTTACACACTTACCCTCATTCATGAATCAACCTTTTAAAATCTGTTTATTATCTGTTTATCTCTCAATAAAAACAATTAAATGTTTGTTTGTTTTAAGAGGAAAGACTAAAGAGGGTGAACATAAACAGAATTAGTAGATAGATGTGTTTTCCCTGATAGAGACCTCCATATTGTTGAATCCATCCATGACTTTTTTTTTTAGACATCTTCTGCAGCAAACTCTGCCCTATAACTAAGGATGGTGGAGTCACTATACCCTACTTTATATGGTGCTGGCGACTGACTTAGTGATGGAATCCAGGGCTTTGTGCAAGCACTCTACTGACTTGAGCTATAATCCCAGCCCTTTATTTATATTTTTATAAGCAGCCTGAAAGATTTTCAAGAATGCAGAAACTACTCATCTCTTTTTATTTGGAGAGGAGGGGCAAAGCAAACTGACAATATTCTCCCTGGAACAGAGCAAATTTTCAATCCCCAAATCAGGATCTATTGGTACGCTGCAAAATCGGCATGGTAAGACAAGACCAGAATATTCTCCATAAAAAAAAAGAAAAAAAATCAAGTAAATTAAATTAGGAAATGCCAGACCATATGATAGGTGTTTGTGAGACTTTTGTCTGCAAATGAATTGGCCTGGCTTCTTCTTCCTATGCACTTGTCGTAAAGTAAGCAATAAACTAAGCATGGAGGTGCACGCCTATAAACTCAGTACTGAGGAGAAAGAGACAGGGAGATGGCACAGGAGAACAGATTGGATTTCATACTGAGTTCCAGATCCCCCTCCAGGTACATGGTGAGATCTTGGCTCAAAAAGAGAATGGGCGGGCGAGCAACTCTCTGTTACTGGACCTAATGGTGCATAGCTTTAATCCCAGCACTCTCAGGAAGCAGAGGCAGGCAGATCTCTGTGAGCTCAAGGTCACCCTGGCCTACATTGGAAGTTCTAGACCAGCCAAGGGACCCTGTCTCAAAAGAGCAAAACAAACCATTGGATATTCATGGTTATGGGTAGGAGCCTAATGGTAGGTATGGCTGGCTCCGGCAAGTTGCAACATTCCCTCACATTGAATTTTTTTCTTTTTCTTTCTGTAAGAAGGAAGGGAAGGCTGGTGAGCCCCAGTAGGTAAACAAAAGGTCACATGTCCCAGAGTACAGAAACTTGAAGGATGCTTGAGTGCTTTTACTCAACAGTATAGAAAAGAGTAAACAATTGCTGGGGGTGGAGATTCTGACCAGCCAAATAGCTGAAAGAAATATTTGACTCCTCAGCTGCCTGCAAACTGCACAGAGTTCCAGGGCTGCAAGTTTTCTGGGAGTCAGTGTCCCCCAGTTTGGGGTGGGCTTTCCTGCGACGCAGCTGCTTTGAGTCACCAAATTGGACATTGGTGCAGCTATTACTTTGGTCTGTCATTAGCTCCCTCTCTGGGGTGAGTAGACACATGTCTCCAGAGGAAAAGTCTGTCACTCAACCGTAGCTGTTGCTATATGCCAACTCAACTTTGGCTTAACTGTATTTCAGACATATGGATGCATACGTGTCTTAGGTCATGATAACATATATATGGAATATGTATATATTGGAATGGAATATACATATTCCATTTGAGATAGGGTCTCACATATCTCAGGCTAGCTATGTACAGAAGATAAACTTGACTTTCTGGTTGTCTTGCCTCCACTTCCCCAGAGCTGGGACCACATGTATTTGCCACTATACTGAGTTTATCCAGTTCTGGGGATCAAGCCCATGCTAAGCAAGCAGTCTAACAACTGAACTACATGCCATTATGAAATGTATTTGTTACTGTGAACTGAAAAAAAAGAAAGAAAGAGGGAGAGAAAAAGGAAAGAAAAGAAACCAGGCTCCATAAACAGGCAAAGTGTTATTTGTGTTGTTTGAGCAATTAAGAAATCCACTCTCATCCCCCTGTACAAAACTTATCACCTTTACACAATTATAAGAAACAAGTAGAAGGGAGGGACGCGAAAATGGCAAGATTATCCAGTGTTCAGTGTGGGACTGAACAATTCTGGAGGGTCTCTCCCACAGACTAAATGTGAATGGCTCCCCCTGGAGTTGAGCAGTACGTAACTGGCAGAGCTCCGCAAGGCAGCTGTGTGAATAAGGCCTTTACAAAAAAACCAAACCAAACCAAAACAACAACAAACCCACCCAAACATGACAAACAAACAAAAAAACGCAGTATTAGTTATTTTGACTTAAGTCACCTTTCTCAAGCTTAATGATTAAAATGTAATTAAATGTGTCATAGTGCTTACTTTTTTTTTTTCTTTAAGACAAGGTCTTTCTGTGTACTCCTGGAACTTGCTATGTAGACCAGCCACAGAGCTCCTCCTGCCTCTCTGCCTCCTTAGGCCTGGGATTAAAGGTGTGCACCACCACGCCAGATTACAATGCCTACTTTTAAATTGCAAGTGAAATTCTCATTTCTCATTGTAATGTGATTTTCTAATCATCCTGAATGTTTAGAAACTCAACAATGTTATTTCAGATTTACTAATAAAGTCAATTAGTCATTGTATAACTTCAAAATTCAATAGAGAGTGCAGAGCTTTTGAAGTCTAACAAATTTGGGTTCTAATCCCCATATAATCCCGGACCATACAACCTAGGGTAGTTATTTAATATCCCTAAGCTTTAATTTCCCAAAGCATATGTTATATAGCCTTAGGACCTGGTCCAATGCCTTGGAGTTCTGTCAATAAATACATGTGCTAAATGAATTGTGCTAACATGAATCAGCCTTGTAAGGTGGCAGTAACATACACCAAGTTCTTAGCCTATGGCCGAAGACAAGCACACAGTAACTAAACAAGCATTCATAAAGGATCTGCAAAAGATGTCAAGCATCATCTGGCCGCCTCGGCTCACTAGTGCTATCCCACCCTTGGGAGTGCCTTTTTCCTTTCTTAATGAACTCTCTCTATTCTTTAGAACAGATGACAGCCTGAAGCAGTGATACTCCTCAGGATGGAAAGGTTCATACTGGGAGGAATCACTTTTCAAATGGCCATACACGATACAGGAGAGAAACAACAGATTTCTCTTTTGTATTAATTTTTGAGACAGGGTCTCATTAGCCCAAGCTAAATTCTTATAAAAAATATAATACATAAAAAACAAAAAAATGTTTTATGACCCTCCTGACTTTACCTCCCAAGTGTTGGGATTAGAGACAAGTGGTGGCAGACACCAGGCCCAGTTTTATGCTCTGCTGGGGACAGAACCCAGGTTGCAGTACATGGCAAGCAAGCCCTCTACCAACTGAGCTTGAGCTATACCACCAGCCCCTTAATATATGTCTCTCTCTGTGTCTCTGTCTGTCTGTCTGTCTGTCTCTCTCTGCTCTCCCTCCCTTCCTTTCTCAGATTTTAAAAAGAAGAAATCCAGACACAGCAGGATAGGGATAAGATTGAAATCTGAGAGTATATTTGGAACAAGTTAAAAAAAAAGAAGGAATTAGTCTATGTCTATGATCCCTAGAACTCAGGAAACTGAGGCAGGAGGCTTTCCAGGTCAAGGCCTACCTGAGGTAATGTAGGGAGACTGTAAAAATTTTTAAGTGGGCAATGCACACATTTTGTTATTTCCAATACAGTGCAAGTAAAAAGGGAAACGTACTGATCACTCAAACAATTTCCTCAGTCATAAACCAAGCAGGCAGAACCGCAGGGATCCAGTCCTGGGCTGGGGGGGCGGGGAGGGGGGGGCAGGCGACGACAAGAGAGGACATATGCTCCTTCCTCTGACAGAGCTTATTTCCTGGTGGAACTATGGTTTTGAGGCAGCCGTGACAACACTTCCCCCTTATTAGAGTCACCAGAAGGTCGCAGGGCCCCCCCAAACCCCCAACCCGCCCCCCCACCCCCACCCCCGGCACATACCCAAGCCTTAGCCTCTGGTCCTGCTGCCCACCTCCTGGCAGGAAGGTGGGGGCATTCTAGACAGATTGATGATAACCGGCCGAATAACATCCGTCCAGGGAGGAGGGATGGATCTCTAAGCCTCAAAGTGAGGTCAGCCAGTGAACAGTTAGAAAAGCAATCATTTCTCACACTTGCTAATGGGTTTGACGCTTGTGAAACATAAACAGGAAGTGGGAGCTTGAGCGACCTGAAGGAAATGCACTCCCAGTTTGGTCAACTTGTGAATCCCAGTTCTCCAGGTCGTCGTCGGAATACTGCCAAATAAGACTGACCCCCGCCCCCCCCCCAAAAAAAAAAAACTGCAGCCCATCCCAGCAGTGACCCCATTTCCCCCCAATTCCCCATCCAGGTCACCCCGCAGCGGGGTGACTGACCCAAGCACGGTGGGGGAAGGTTAACAGTCATCTCTCAACTCTCCGAATTTGCAGGGCAGGGGAGTGCAGAGGTCAGTGAAATCCCCAGCCAGGCCTTATTTTAGTCATCAATTTCCACTGGCCCCTTGCTGTGTGTCAGCGGAGCTCACAGCGCGGCAGGTTCTGCGTTTCAGATGCTTTCCCAGCTCCGGGCTGTTAGAAGGTCAAAGAGACCAGACTTTTCCAAGGCAGGTGGGGGGCGGGAGAACTAAGCGAGATTGCAGAGAACTGGGGCTGGAGCTACCCTTTGTGCCCCACTCACCGGCCTGTGAGCTAACCTCTACTACCTCAACGTTTGGGTTAGTATTAAATTAGAACCTCATCTTTTATTCTCTAACAGTGGCCCCGATAGACTTTGTGCTGAAGGCAGTCTTCAGATTGGCCTCGTTGGCTCCTTCCCAAGGTCCCTGTAAATTCAAGGTCAAAGACCGCGTTTAATTCTCCACTGTCTCTAGCCGCGAGCACGACGCCTAACAATGGGAAAGGAAGGGGCTCAGTGAATGTGTACTTCATAAACGTGTAGATTTCACTGTGATAGGCCAAGAGAATTTTTTGGCTTTTTTTCTCTCCCCCTTCTTTTTCCTCCTGCCCTGGAATAGACCGCAAACAGCGCCACCCAAGTTCCTGGTTAGCAGCGGGATCCCATGCAGGCTGGCAGCCCCTGTGCGCGGGGGGTCACAGCTAGGATGCGGGCGCAGAGAGGCTTGCAAGTGAGCCGAGCTACGGCCCGCGTCCGGGCCACGTGAAGCGTCACGCCCCGCGCTGCTGCAGGGCAGGCGCCGTCGCCGCGGTTGTGTAACGCTGCAGCCGGAGGGGAGGCGACCCGGACGCCTCTGCTCCGGAGGGGGCAGAGGAGGGAGGGAACGCCGGGCACTGTGCCCGGTATCTTTCTGTGCTTGACTAGCCAGGGTGGGTGGGGGCAGTGAGGCACCCTGAAAGGCGGGAGGAGATGGGTGCGCGCCAGTCGGGTGCCGGGCCACCCGCAGGCTGCGCCCCGGAGCTGAGCTCCCGGGAGAGTGAGGGGCCGCCGGCGCAGCTCACACGGTCCACGGTCAGGTGCGCGCGGCGTGCTCGGCGGCGGCCTCGGCTGCCCTAGCGCCTGGCCGCCTGCCCGCTTCCCATGGGGTGACATCCGCCCCGCCCTCGGTCCCTCCCCAAGGCGGGCAATTCCTGGACACTGGGCTGAGCGCTGGGGGGCTGGGAACCGGGGACGGAAAGAAACCCCAGCCTCTGGGGAAGGCCAAGGGGGGGGGGGGGGACGACGACTCCCTCCGTTGCGCACCGGTTCCTAGGAGCGGGCCAGGCGGGGGAGGAGGAAGAGGGTTGGGCTGGAGCGACCGAGGGGATATTCCTCTCCCGGCTTGAGTCAGACGCGGGCGGATCCGTCCTCCCCCGTTCCCTCCCAGGAGACGGGAACTTACTTCATTTCCCTGGGGCAGGTTCGCCCACGTTACCAACCTCCCCCCCCCCCCCACTCCCCGGTTCCTTCCAGCTTCCGTGCCCCCCACCCAGCTGGGCAGGACTTGGGCTGCGCTGCCACCCCCTCTTTCGGGGAAAGGAGGCCGCAGCCGCAGACACCTGGGGCCCGAGGTTCGGGGCGCGCGGGGGGGGGGGGCACTTCGCAGCCGCCAGAGCGTTGTCCAACACGTGAGACTCATGTGATGAAGCCGGGGGAGGGCGGGCAGGTCGCTCCTTCCCTCCCCGGCAGCGGCCAGACGTGCTTGGAGTCACAGGGTAGAACACGTAGCTTCTACCCACCCACTCGCTCCCATTTAACCCAGCCCGCAGCCTCTCCTTACTCCTCGGCTCGTCCTCTCCAACACCCCCCCCCGCTCCGCCCTAAGCAACCCCCCTTCCCTCCCGCCTCCCCGCCCGCCCCACTTCTCATTCACTTGGCTCGCACGGCGCAGACAGCGCAGCGAGCATACACCGCCAGTCTGTGCGCAGAGCGGGAGCCAGAAGCCGCGGAGACACCCGGCCATGCACGCCCCCAACTAAGCGACGCCTCAAAGCCGCGGCTCCTGGCAGCCCAGCGCATTGCAAGGGAGCTCAGGCTAGCTCAGAGGAACATACCCCTTGAGACCCTCGGATCCTCCCTTCCAGAACAGTTCTCCCGTAGACGCTCTGCTAAGTGCAGACAGGAGCGCGCAGTGGCCCCGGCTCGCCGCATCATGGAGCGGATCCCCAGCGCGCAACCACCTCCTACCTGCCTGCCCAAAGCGCCAGGACTGGAGCACGGAGACCTGTCAGGGTAAGTGTGCACTGTGACCTCTTCAAGTCTCCGCTCCTAGCCTTGTGTTTTGCGCCGCTCTCAACTTGGGGCACCTCTGGGAACATAGGGGGGTTCTTGCATCAATAGGGCGCCTGCAGCCAGTGCGCACTCGGGAGTCACCGCTCTTTCTGGCCCCTCTCCCTACAGGATGGATTTTGCCCACATGTACCAAGTGTACAAGTCCAGACGGGGGATCAAACGGAGCGAGGACAGCAAGGTAGGTGCATCCCTGGGGACCCCATTCCCTAGCCCCTCGCGTGCGCTGAGTTTCCAAGAAAAGTTTGCTTGTTGGAGGTTGGCTGGGGGATTCAAGATGTGGTGAGCCCATTGTCACAACTGAGTGACTTGGGAAAGAGGGGGCAGAGAAGGTGATTCTGGGTGCGTCTCTGCGCCCTTGCAGGATTTTTTTCCCCTGCTGCCGGGCGGGGAGGAAGGGAGGCTTCATGTTCCGTTCCCCGGGCACCCATCGCTTCCATGTACTCCTTGCAGGAAACTTACAAATTGCCGCATCGGCTGATTGAGAAAAAGAGACGTGACCGGATTAACGAGTGCATTGCCCAGTTGAAGGATCTCCTACCCGAACACCTCAAACTTACAGTAAGTGAGAAGCTGGCAGCGCTCCAACCCAGCTCTTCTGCCCAGAGGGCGGGTGGGGGTCACTCGCCGCCTGCAGGCGTCACGAGGAACTGCAGGCTAGACGGGCGGATCAAAGCTCCGGATAGCTCTGGGTTGGAGGGAGCCCATCCCCAGTCCCAATCCTTCCAGGCAGAGGCAGAACCAAAACCCTCTGGGCCCCCTTTATGTTGGCGCCAACACTAGAATAGCTTTCTTTTGGTGATTTTTCACCGCCTGGTAGTTTTCCTGACTTAAAGGAGCAAACCACACACACACACACACACACACAAAGCCTTTTCCTTTCCCACCTTCCCTCGATAAGAGGAGGACAACCTTTAATGTGTGCTTTTTTCTTTCCATCATATCATTTAGTGGTAGCCAAAAGCTTTCTAGCTTTTCCTTCGGGAAAAGTATTTGGAAAGGAAGATGAAAAGCCTGCATGAGCTGGAAGTTCTGAAAGGGTGTCAGGGAAACACACACACACACACACACACACACACACACACACACACACACACACACACACGGAAAGCCTGGTTGCCAGACACAGTAGACGTCCCTCCCTGGGTTGACACCACAGCAGAGAAATGTTATCTCTGGAGTCCCCTGAGGTAAGGTCAGGGCAGCTGCTGGAGAAATATATCTGTCAGCTCACTCCTGAGACTGTAACAGCTACCAAAAGGCCTCCAAAGATAGATGACACGTGTTTGTTTTTTTTTTTTTTTTTATCCGCTGATCATCTATATGTATATGTTAAAACATCTGCAAACTTTAAATTTACTAAAGCAGGAAAGGCTCTTCCTGGGTTTATTGTTGTTTACACCCAGCCATCACAAATAAGTGTCTGCAGGGACTTCTCTGACCTCATGGGTGACAGGAACTGTTTGTTTTCTCCCCCACAGACTTTGGGTCACTTGGAGAAAGCAGTGGTCCTGGAGCTTACCTTGAAGCACGTAAAAGCATTGACAAATCTGATTGATCAGCAGCAACAAAAAATCATTGCCCTGCAGAGCGGATTGCAAGCTGGTGAGTGCTGCGGTCTGATTAGCATCTCCCTAAGAGCTCAGCACAAGTAGAGCCCAGGGCACACTGGCTTCTGACCCTCCTGTCTCCATTCACTTTTGCACATTCTTTGGAGGAGATGCTTTTTTATTCTTTCCTAAAAGGTCATACTTTCCATTCGGAGTGCCGCTGTGTGCCACCTGGAATGAATACATATTAGCTCAGTGATGAAACGTCCCCCTGACATTTTGGCCCAAGAGTGTCTAGGTTCTGGGAGACTTCCCCATTCCCCTTTAAAATGCCAAGGCACCTATAATTCTCGTTGTGGGTGTTTTACGGTTGGTCTTCTGAGCCCTCGATCGTGGGTGAACAGGACATAGGCCTGCCCCCAGTGTTTTCCTGTTCCTTTGTTTCCTTGACTTTGGATGTGGGGTGCAGTCTTGGCAGGATGGCAGCAGGTTTTTTTTGTTTTTTTTTTTCCCCTGCATTTCACTGTGGTTCCCTGAATAGCCACTAGGTATCTTGACGAATTGCACAATCTAACGAAACCACTAGTTTCATCATTCATTCCTATGGAGTTTCAGAGACTCCGTCTAACCTTCACCCCCTTCCAGATCATACAGGCCAAGCCAGGGGGAATCCTTACACGTACCCCTCAGGCATTCTTCTCTATCCTGGCCAAGGCCAATATGAGAATCACAAATCACCAAGCCCGTGTGTCTGCCAGTTTTCTTTCTGAAAATAGCAAGTTGATCAGAACTGATCTCTAGGGCAGTCATGGATACAGTATAGGGAAAAGACTTACAAATGAAGAGCCCAGTTAAAGTTCACAGGGGGAATGCAACTGTTTGTTTAATAGGTTGGGTTTTTGTATGTACGGAAGTAGTTGGTTTTAATTTTGTGGGTTTTTTGTTGGTGTTCA